AGTTTTCGTACATATGACCTTGTGTTGGCCTTACAATTTACCAAGCTCAAGAGCTCTTTTCTCGATCCAAGTCAAGACCTTATTGTTGTCCTTGGCACTATATATGCTAGTAAAAGGTGCCAGTGTCCAAGGATTGTTTCGTAAGCTAGGCTCCGCCATTATTTGTGACATTGTGCTCAACGATAAATAAAAGAGGGAATGAGAGAATGAAGTTGATCGGCTCATAGCTTCATACATTCCTTGAGCTATCCTATCTTAATTCGTACTTGACTAGACTAAAGCCATAGGCCCTTTCTTCTGAGGAGATAGAATTGTAGTTATTGTCTCTTGAAATTTATAGTAGATGAAGGGACCATAATTTGTTTAGTCTTGAATTCAATCGCACTGTTTATTGGCAGTTAAAGTGGGGATTGGAGGATTCAGTATGGGTGCGGCAACAGCCCTCTACTCGGCAGTTTGTTGGGCATTGGGTAAATACGGAAATGGCTATCCTTACCCTGTCAACTTAAGGGCAGTGGTTAGTCTCAGCGGCTGGCTCCCTGCTTCAAGGTGATTAATTCTTGAGCATCTTTCCCTGAATCAGATTAGAAGTCTACAATATTATAAGAAAAGATTAAGTTTACCGTTATTCAGACTCTTTTGAAGTGATTTTTAATTCTTCTAAAGCATTTTCCCCTCTTGAAGAATGAGAATGTTGCAACGGTAAATCGATTGAGATGCAGCTTACAAGTTGCTGTATCAAGTACTATGACTGACAAAACAATTCTTGCTTGATTTTCAGTCAACTTTCCGAGAAAATACTTAAGGTTATTTTTTGTGTAGACCGAGAATTTGAACCTCAAATGAAACTTGTGTACTGTCAGAAGGAATTAGCATGAACCGAGACTATTTGTTGAATGACCAGATTCAGATGACTGAAAGGCTTTCGACTGTGCAGGAGTTTGAGAAGTAAGATTGAAGGCTCCAGTGAGGCTGCAAGAAGAGCTGCATTCTTGCCAATTTTGCTTTATCATGGAACATGTAAGTAGCACAGTCTATGTTTCCGTCTAATTCAGTAAATGCCAACAATTTTGAGCCCCGTTTCTTTTGCTATGCCAAGACAAAATTGAGTCCTGCTCAATGCTTAATGGCAGCTTGACCCACACAAGTACTATTGCTGCAGGTGATGACTTAGTGCCCTATAACTATGGAGAGAGGTCGGCTCGCTACTTGAGCTCTGCGGGATTCCGCTATCTTACGTTCAAATCCTTTGACGGGTCTGGCTTTCGTTTCTTGATCCTTCAGACGTGAAAATCTTAACAAATTAAGATGTCATATATAAGTATAACCTTTCAAACGTACGTCTCAAATCTGCAGGATTGGCCACTACACGGTGCCTAGGGAGATGAGCGATCTCTCCAATTGGATCACTGCGAGGCTGGGGCTCGACGGATCTCGTTCTTAATTTCAGAGTGAATTCTCAGTGTTAGTTCGCACAGAGAGAGAGAGAGAGAGAGAGAGAGAGAGAGAGTAGTAAGTAGAGAATAGTCACTCTTTACATTTTCTTGTGCCTTGCTCTGGAATTAAAAGTTCTCAAGTGTTCGTGCAGTATTCACTAATGAAGCATCTTCTATTTCTCACGCAATCACAATCTTGAAGAAACTGGCCTACTTGCCCTCCGCATCTGAATAATGGTTTTCTTTCTAGATTATTTTTTTCAAAAGAGAATCTCAGTGAAGGCACATGAACTTTTGGGTAACAATGATACTTGGTGAACGTAGCTGGAAATGAGTCGGAACATCTTTCAGTCGACCATGATACATCCGGAACTAGCGCCCTGTCATGGAAGAATCATTTACTGATGAGTGATAACTCTCTGGATCTGTCAAGAAACTTGAATTGAAGTCGAAAACTGGTCCCGTCATAAAGCAATTCTCCAAATCATTAAGTAAAACATCTTTTACAGCGGCACAATATACCGTAGTCAAGAACTTTTTTACTAAAGAAATCTTGTATGCATATAACAACATACAAGCCAATAGCAGCAATCCCTTATTGTCACAAAACTGTACTCAATGGATTCCAACAGCATTACCAAACAATTAGCCTTCTATCAGCCCAACAGAAAACAAGTCTTAAGCATTCGGTGCATCAACAAGTCAATTTCCTGTATCGACCCCTTTGACAAACTTGATGAGCGACCTAATCGATACTTGTTACATGATCCATCTATTGTCTCTACACAGCACTTCAAACTCTGTCTTCATCGTCTTTGCGTCGTCATCACAGGTTCAAATCTCGAATTTCGATCAGTCCTCAAAGTCACACAACAGATGACAACAATCAAAGAATCAGTCTCAATCTCTGTTCTACTCTCCTCAAGCTTATACTGGCAAAAGCTTCAACCCTTTCAAGGCTCTCCACAAATGCAAGCACCATCCTACTGCTACCTCCAACTAAGCAGCATCTTCAATTCTTCTGTAATCTGCATCAACCCACCTAGCCACGGTCGAAATCATGTCCACTCCCAAGCTTCCAGTCCAAACGCATCTGCTCCACCGACTTGGGAACGAAATGTGCTCTACTGATTCAGTTATCCCACAGATCTGCTTAACCTCTCTCTAGAACGGATTCCCATTAGTTGCCAAAACATCATTCATAGCTCGCCATGATAAATTTCTGATATTTGGAGGACATACTAATTTCCAAATTACCTTCTGCACACTACAACCAATAAACTGTGAATGAAGAAGGATCTCGAATTCCTTGTTTTCTGGAATAAGCATATGCAGACTTCACAGAAATTGCTCCTGTACGTTCTTAAGGCTCACGGGGTGTGCAGACAGTATGTTTTGAAGTCATTAATAAGTTTCAGAATGTACCGTGCTTAGTGTGAAGTTCTAGCTGAAGAAATATACCTATATAAAAATGCATAATGCATTTTGTCCTATTAGATCATGTTACGCTACCGCGGCTTAAATGGGTTCTTTGTTATGGTCAATTCAGTTCAAAAATTCATGTTTGAGTACTCCATCGAAACAGAGTTCTATTTACTAGTGAATGCACAGAAGATTAAGTACTTATTGAACACTTTTAAGTCATTTATATTGACGGTAAAATCAAAAGTCTCGACAAGAAAGCCAAATGTTCTCTTGGTTCGGTAACTTTTGACTTTCCCGCCAAACTGTAATTTTAAACGATCCGAAGTCGTTGTGGCTTTTTCCACATCCTTTATAGTTTCAAAATTGCAAAGGCGAGCTTTCTCTCAATAGCTATTAGTAATTCCAAAGAGTGGTTAGCAGCTTTTTATCCTATAAGTAAATATAAGCCAACTAATTTAGCGAAATTCGTTAGTGTTCAGTAATTTTTTAACAAAAAAGGTAATTCCCGTTAAATCAATCGGCGGCAAGTTTTTCATTGAAAAAAAAAAATTTATTTCTGACGAAATCTCCTTGAAAATCGAGACAATGGATTGTCGATAAAATTGCTTTTATTTGATCACACGGTTGTCCTTCTTTCCTTTTAAATGAACGGTCAAGATGGCCGAAATACGAAAGTCCCGTGCAAATGGGCATGAAGAATAAGTGGGCCGAAGCGTCGAATCGGGCCTGGGTGGGCCGAGCTTGTTGGGCTCAAGCCTATGGCCAATTGTAGAAAACCCATCGTACGTTCGGTGCAAACCTAAGATAGGATCGAAAATCTTTGAAAATACCCCGTCCGATCCAGCTGCTTCAGCCTCTACCCTCCACTTCTGATACTCCCTGTAGTGCCCCGAGTCCCACTGTCTCATCCGCCACCCTATCGATCGTATTCCTTGTGGCCGCCGTTGTCTATGCAAACCTTGCACAAGGGTAGCGACCCCCTATCTACGTCACAGAGACGGAGAGGTAGAGAGCTCGAAGGGATCGACTCGGGTTTGCCTTTTGATTGGAAACCTAGTCTTCCACTTGGGTCGTCACTATATTGCAAACTCCAGGACCTCCAAAAGAGCATCTTTCGATTACCCCGATGCAGATTGGCACCAAAACAAGGGTACCCAGAAGGAAATACAAAAAAAGACGCGAAATTGTGGTATCCTTTTGTTTGTGTGATCTGGGTGCAGAAACCTCTATCAAGATCTTCTCATCTACTCGAAAATAGTCCTCACTTTGGGAAGCCTTTAGTAGAACTCCATGCAATGAAGTCAGTCCTATCCTAACTTCTCATAGAAGCAACAACACTGCTGAAAAAACAATTCGCAAAGACCAAACTAGACCACCCAAAAAGGGAACACAACCCGAACGGTATAACTTTGTCTCCCTTCAATAAATAGCGATTTCAGTGAGAAGCTCGTTGGTGAGCAACTAGAACAAAGCCACGCTATTCAAGAACTCCGAATCTAGCAGCTTGCAAATCGGCCCATGATCGGAGGTGACAACAATCGTCTTCATTCTCCTTTTCACCCTTAATCGTCGTAACACAATCGGCTAGCTGGCGATAACAATAACGATCGTTGGCGGTTGGAAGCAACAACGATTGTGCAATGGTAAGAAGTGACAATGATCAACTGTGGTGGTGGTGGTCCTCGCACAATGGCCAACGAAGTGATATCCGAATGTGGTCACTTCATCTCTCCATTGTTAAGAGATAATAGGATATGCTAAGTTATTTCTTTTAACTTTTTCTATCTAATATAGGTTTGTCCCACCCGTCCCGGATTTCTTATCTAGCATTTTATACAAATTTCTCCAGTCCTGAGAACGTCGTCAAACATCAAATAGGATAATATGTTATCCTATCCATATTCAAATCCAAACTGCCAAACACAAGGATTTGAACCGTCTTCTTTTTCAAAATACCTTTATTTTCGATTTTTAGTCTCATGCTATTTTCGTCCCTAGACTCCGAGCGAGTTTGAAGTTTGAATCCTTCAAACTCGCAGCCCAGGTCAAATGGAACTTTAAACATTCATCATCCGGCATGTGTCCAAACATCCGTACGTATTGGACAGAGTATGGGGGCGAAAATGGTGTGCACGCAAGCTATAAATTTCACAAACGCCGTGGAAGCACAACCTCCTGTGATTCTCGATACAAACTCAGTCTCAAATTCTAACCACAACACGTAAATCAAGAAGAAGATGGCAAACCAAGGTCAGAACATTGGATACAAGGCAGGCGAAATGACGGGTCAAGCTCAGGTCTGTTACTATATCATATGCATACCATCGCCATTGCAGTGTCTTAACAGGAGGCGCTTAGATATGGCGAACTTTATCAACTTAGATAAGTTTTTTTGGGGTTGTTTAAGCAGATGAAGAAAGAGGAGTGCATGGACCATGCGTCCAACCAGTACCAGGCAACCATGGACAGGATCTCTGGCACCACCCCAAACTCTGGCTATGACCTCAAAGGCCAGGCCACCACTTTCCTTCACCAGGCGAGTTCACCCTTTAGAAACTTCACTTTTGCCTCTTGAATTTTGAAAAAGCGGGCGCTTCGCCAAGGCTCGAATGTCATTCCCGTGACAGAATCGCACACCGTTGTTAGTATTTCCTTGTTAGCTGCGGCTTCTGGTTTCACGGCACGACTTGATGAGGATCACATTCACATGTATTAAATCATCTCGTACGACATGATATTAGTTTGGCATTAGTTGGTGATTGAATTAAGAACCTAATATGGCATTGAAATGTAGACTGGAGAGCAAGTGAAGAGCATGGCACAAGGGGCAGCTGAAGCAGTGAAGAGCACTTTGGGAATGAACAATAATGCCGACGCCGCCGATGCCGCCAAAACCGTCAACCCTCCCAATAATCCCAGCTACCCCGCCAACAACCCCGCCTCGAGAGTTTGAACTTCTCTCGCCCCTAAGCCATATTATTGATATATTTCTCGTCTCATGTTTCTATTGTAACGTTTTTCCCATATCGTATTGTCGTCCATAGACGATTTCTAGGGAAATTGTAATTTCTTCTTTGTTTCATTCCGCTTGCTTAGAGGTCGGCCAAGGCCTTTAGATTAATTTGTCAAAATCATACATCATGTATTACATGATAAAGGATTGATGGGCCAAATTCTTTGTGGTGTCCATCCATATGGTATTGAGTTTCTTTTTAGCCTTGTTGAGCCAGCCTATCTAAGTAGTGCTTGCGCTTGCCTCCTCTTGATTGAAGTACCAAGATGATGATTTAAGGGAACTGCTAAGTTGGAAGAACATCACTCCGCATCGATAAACTTAAAAGCTAAATGGCAAATCAAGGCACCACACACGCATCCTGCAAATTTGCTTGGATTCGACTCACGTCGAGAGAACTTTAATCAGGCAAGTCATGTTCGCGCCTCGACTTGATTCCATGTATTTCCAAAGACGTGTCTTGTTAAAATGAGGGCAATTGTACCACATAACATCGGTGTAAAAAGAATCTTCTACGAACGGCTTTATTTGCCTATGATTTGATGGTTAGCAAGAAAGCGATTAGTTACGATCCTCAAATGCGTATAGAAGCTGTTTGTGTAAAGTATTTTCAACTACTAATATAGGAACGAATTATGATAGAATATGTCTTGTTTATCTCGACAAAATGGGCCCGCGGCGTTATTTACCAAGCTTAGGACTAGAGGAGCACACTTCCCATAAAATAATACATCCTTACGATAGTCCTTCATAATGAATGAAATCCAAAGAAGCTAGATTCATCCTTCCTCGTTGAGCCACGGCGAGGGCTGTTGCACGATCCTGTCGTGCCTCGACAAGAGTTGCGCGATATCAAGATTTCATAAAAAGAAAATGTAAGATCAGAGATTTTTTTTTAAAGGATATTAGGCCTTTTATCCTGTCGTCTCGTGTCGAAAAAGAAAATTCTTAATCGTGAAAACAAGGGAAAGAACCGAAAAAGGGAGAAGGGGGTGAATCATCGATCACACACGTAACTGAGCATGGAGTGAGAAAAGAAAAGGAAGAGTGCGAAGTTGGTCGTGGTCGTCATGCATGGAGGCGATTCCCAAGGCAAAAGAATCGAATCAGCCCAACTTCTCTCTCTCTCCTTCTTTCTTTACAGTTCGCGTCCTCCATCTTTACCCTTCCCCGAGAGAATGGACGCCAGATCTCTCTCTCTCTCTGTTCTTTGTGTACTCAGGCTCAGAAAACAAAAGACAAAATAAAGAAAGAAAAACTAAAGCGAGCAGAGAGAGAGAGAGAGAGAGAGGATTTGGAATTGTTCAGCCGCAGCAGCGAATGAAGGAGAAAGAGAGGAGCAAAAGCAAAAGGTGGTCAAAAACCCCACCTCCAAGACTTGTTATTTCATCATCAGCCTCCTGCCTTCTTTATTGAAACTCCCTATTTTTCGTTGCTTTTTCTCCTTTTCATCAATTTGTTTTCTTTCACTTCATTAATCTTTGCAAAACGTTGGTTTTCGCTCATTCTTTGTCGTGCTCATCTCTTTGTTATTCGTGCATATATCGTTGGTTTCGATCTGTGTATTTGCCATATAATAAAACAAAAAGATTTTTTGGATACGTCATTTTCTGTACTTCGGTCTTGCCTATATCCAATGACTAGACATTTTCTACTAAGTTTATTTTTTTAGGTTGGGAAGTGATAAAGTTGGAAGTGATGGTCCCCGAGCAAAAGAACCGGATCGAACCGGCCGATTCTAAATGGTTCTCGTAAGAACCGGTTCAGTTCTCAGTTCCTAAAATTTGGAACCAGTGAATATCAGTCCGATTCTCGATTTTAGGTGTGGACCCACCCGCTCGGATTACCTCAACTGGACCGATTTTTTTTGTTCTTATTACAAAACTGAAAACCCTAGCCCATTCTTCACTCTCCCACGTTGTAAACCCTAATTGAGCCCATTTCTTCACTCACGCCTCTCACGGACTCATGACGCTCACTCTGTCACTCACTCACTGCTCACTCTCTCACGACTCTCGCAACCTTGCTCACGATGCTCACTCTCAGTCATGCCTCTTCAAAATTCAAGCAGGTCTCTCTCTGTGCGTGGATCTATCTACGATAGTGGATTAGGGCTTTTACATGTCCTTGCTGATTGGCCTAAATTTTATGAGTTTTTGCTGTTGGGGCAAAGCTTGCCCCGAGCGATTGCGCACTTGCTTCATCTACGGACTCGTTGATTTCGTCGCAAACTCGTGTCAATTGATGAGTTGCACGTTTCTTCCGAAAGTGATGAATTAGGGGTGTGGTTGAAACTCCTTTCTTTCCTTTGCAGTTTTGCTGTACTTTTAAAAGGGTCGATTAAAGGGGTTGATTTTAGATGAAACGATGATCATATTCCTATAGCTGTTAACATGGCTTTTCCTTCATCGTTTTCTTATTTAGGGTTTTCACTTTCTGTTTGGGAAGGTGATTCTCATCTACATCAGATCACGGCCCTCAGTTCTTTGAGTTGGAATTTTGAGCAAGACATTCTGACTCTGCGGGAACATGTGTTTCGTGATCAGATCGCGATTTTTCAGCAGCGGCTCATTAGGTTAGCAGGCAATTGACTATGGGAAATTCGCCACTTTTTTGTACCAAAACATTTCTCAGGACACGACTGATTCTTAGACCCATCCGGGAATCGAACTAAAGTGGTTCGGTCTGGTTTTTGGGTGGAGCCAAGACCAAGTGGGCCGATTCCCGGTTATACAAACTGGAAAACGGCTCTTTTGGTCCGGTCCCCGATTATAGGATGGGAACCGGTACACCTTGGAACCGATCACCCCTAGTCTTTATACCCTCGAAGAAAAAAATCAAATGTCACATGAAAAAGTATATGTCTTATTATATTATGTTAAAACAAAACTAAATCGGTCTCAGTCTAATGGATTCGTGATGAAGTCTACTGATTAAACAACGTTAACATATCGATTTTCCTACTTATATATTTATATGTTCCTCTCTATGTACTCAGATTTTTCGTCATATATGACAAGCGATGAGTTGCATGCAAAAGAAAATGACAACGTATCACGGAGGATATTCAAGAGATGTTCATCCAATATTCAAAAGCCAAAATTCGAAAGAGACATCCTCCTCGTGGTCACAGTTGATGTGTACACACACACATATATTGGCCCACGCTTGGGATTTTGTGCTGGGAATATTCATCATGGAGACAGTAAACAAAATGTGCTAATATGAATCGTATGAGCTTTGTGTGCACTGTGCAATCATTAAAATGCACAATTCAGATGCCTGAGTCACTTGTCCTTGTGGTGGGACATAAGTGAGTGGAGGGACCCGAATAAGGCTCGGTCAAAATGGCCTTTCTAAGATGCACAGTTTGCTTAAACAGGGGTTTGGAATAAGTGTGTTGTGCTGAGAGGTTACAGCATATCCTGTTTGTGAGATCCTGCTTGTTGTGGGGGCTATAACTGCATTGACCAGATTTGCCCATTTTTAATGAATTTAGAACAGCTTCTAAACCATCCATTCTTTTGAGATTACCTATCGTGCTTTTGGTAGGTAATCAAGCGACCATAGCAAAACACATAGCGACATATCTTATGCAACTATCAAACATGATGCATTTATCAGCATTGTCATGTATATGTTAGACTAGATGTGGGAGAGGTTTCTTTGGTCCAGATATCAGATGGGTCAGCTCATTCTAATTTACAAGTAATTTAGTTTTAGCAATTTCCATTGAAAAATGAAATTTAACTCGACGGTTTGCTTAATATTTAAAGAATGGACATATATGTGTCGATTAGACTATAACAAAGGCTCAATTCTCAGTGTCGATTAGATATACAATACATGTACAACAGGGTTATGTATGTGTTGGAATAGATATGGCAAAGGTTTTTCCAGTCCAGGTATGAGATGGGCCAATACTTTCTATTTTACAGGTACTTTAGTTTTGGCAATTTTTTTTTGCAAAATGAAATTTAACCCGACGGGTTTGCTTAATAGTGAAAGAATGGACATACATGTGTCGATTAGACATATGACACAGGCTCAATGCCCCGTGTCACCAAGTGCCAAATTCTTTGAATGGGTGGCTTATGCTAATGACTTGTGATCTAACTACCTATGTTTAAATAATTCGATGAGATATTGTTCCTCATAAGTGCATATATATTAATGTATGCCCATCTCATCTGTGAACCATTCATACTCGTCCTGTATCATTCGGCTGTCTCACATTCAAGCATCCTTCTACATCAGCATATTTTACTCAAACTGGATCTGATTCTATTTTTTTTTTAGATCTGATTCTAGTTAACCTACATTCATTTATGGTTTTTTTTTTGCTTGAACGAACTTGAGATGGCAATCCTCATGCAGGCAATCGCAATGATCCATGACATTCATTCTCCTTGGAGATATCTAAAAACATCATTTCACATTTTGCAGACCCATCCAATCAAACATAGGCTCCGTACCAACTTGTTACGAAATATGCAGATCAAAGCGTGAGAAGTGGAGGCCAAGAAACAAATCACAAATGGAATTCATGTGGTTCGATTAATCTAATTTACAGCTGTAGCGAAAGTAACAAAAACATTTCATTATTGATAGCAATACAAGAATCATTCGCTCAATGTCTCTCAAGTGTCAGTTCACTCAAGTCTCGCAAGTGCGGCATAGTCCCTAATTACATCCATTAATCTCATACTGTATTTAGTCCTCATGATTATATTTTCACAAAAACACACTCTTCAAAGAGAAGCCTACCTAGCTAGATTTGGCTAGGCGTCCGCCTTAAATACAAATCAAGTTGTTTATGTCACCAGAGCACCGTATCACATGTTGACAGGGCTTACAATTCGTGTTTTGTCATCACCGTAATTGTGATTTGTGCCATTGATGTTAGTGTTGAAACAACATAACATGTATTTTGGACAAATGATTGACCCATGATAAAAACTTCGTGTTAACTTGTGTGAACATATGGATGTGGTTAAGCATATCATTTCGTGTCAAATACTAAGTTTCCCTCTATATTTCGCACTTCTCCCCATGCCATGCTCTTGTCAAATAAATAATCATATCCACTATTGCCAACTCTAACTTCAGCTGCAGAGCATCTGACAATACCATATAGGCCCCATCAAGCTAGGCCAAGCGCATGATGCCATGTGTCCAACTCATTAGATGTTTTCTGGAGTT